AACAGTTCAGTTTTTCACCACTGAGTATGCTATTAGGTAAGGCTTTGTCTTATGTGGTCTTATAGGTTGAGGTACTTTCTTTCTATGATCACTTCACTGAGTGTTAATCATATAGGGATGTTGGATTTTGTCAAATGCTTTTCTCTGAATCTATTGATATGATCATTCAATTTTTACTTTTATTTTGTTAATGTGGTATTTCACATCTATTTGTGTGTTTTGCCATCTTTGCACAACTGCAATTATATGAACAATAAAGATTTCATTGAAGATAATAATAAAATAAAATAAAATGCCAAAGGCTAAAGATAAAGAGAGAATCTTAAAAGTAGAAAATGAAAAGCAGTTAGTTTCAAGGGAGTGCCCATATGACTGTCAGCTGATTTCTCATCAGAAACTTTGCAGGCTAGAAGGGAGTAGCAAGAAATATTCAAAATGATGATTAGCAAGGACCTACATCCAAGATTATTCTACCCAGCAAAGCTCTCATTTACAATTGAAGGTCAGAGAAACAGCTTCCCAGACAAGAAAAAGCTAAAGGAGTTCATCACCACCAAACAAGTAAGACATGGGAGGAGGAGGATGAAGAGGAAGAAGGGGAGGAGGAGGACGGAAGGAAAAGGGATAAAAATTATGAATAATAAAATGGCAATAAATACATATCAATAATTGAATCTAAAAATCAAAATAAATGAACAAGAAATCTAATGAACAAAATAAACTGGTGAATAAAATAAAATCAGAGGCATAGAACAGACTGATCAATCTCAGATGGAAGGAAGTAGGGGGGCGGGAAGAGATTAACCAAATATCTTACCTATGGACATAGACGGTAGGGAGGTGAAGGCCTGGGGCAAGTTGGGAACCCAGTGGAGGGGGGCAATGGGGAGAAAATAGGGGCCATCTGTAATAATATCAACAATAAAGATTTTTTTCATGGACTGACATATTTCGGGTGGAAAGGTGTGTGGAGGTGCAGGAGGAGACTGGAAAAAAATCGTACACCTATGGATGAGGGGGCAAGTTGGGAACCCAGTGGAGGGGGGCAATGGGGAGAAAATAGGGGCCATCTGTAATAATATCAACAATAAAGATTTTTTTTTAAAGCATAGGGAGATACAGCATAATTGACTTGCTGCTAAAAAAGCAAAGATATAGAAAAATCATGTAATGATTCTATTTACATGACATTTTCGGAAAGGCAGGGACAAAATAAAGATCAGTTGTTTTCAAGGATTGAGACTGGGGGAATAGGGATAACTACAAAGCAGCATAAGGAAACTCGGAGTGCTGAAATTATTATCTTGATTATGGTGGTGATTATAAGACTTTTAAAACAGAATTTTACGCTATATGTTATACATACAGGAACGTATCTCTTGATATGAAATAAAGAAGGCTACAATACAACCTATATAACATTCTTGACATAAACATTTAATCTGAATATAATCATTAGGAAACAATAGGCAAATCCAGAATAAGACATACTCTCTAACAGCAGTCGCCAACCAGTGGCCCACTGGTGATCCGCGGAACACTGGTGATCGATGAGGTCCAAAAGGTTGGCAACCACTGGTTTAAGGAAACCTTTGGAGCAGCTGTGGCCAACCAGTGGTCTCCAGACCACTGGTGGTCCATGAGGTCTGAAAGGTCGGTGACCGCTGCTCTATAAGAATACTGGCCTGGCCCTGATCGGTTTGACTCAGTGGATAGAGCGTCGGCTTGCGGACTCAAGGGTCCCAGGTTCGATACCGGTCAAGGGCATGTACCTTGGTTGCGGGCACATACCCAGCGGGACGTGTGCAAGAGGCAGCTGATCGATGTCTCTCTCTCACTGATGTTTCTAGCTCTCTATCCATCTCCCTTCATCTCTGTGAAAGATCAATAAAATGTATTGAAAAAAAAAAAAAAAAGAATACTGGCCTGAAGCCTTCAAAGAAAAGTCTCTCAAAAAACAAAAATAGTAGAGTTGACTGCTTTAGATTAGAAGATAGCACCAAGATATAAAAATGAAACATAATGCATGAATTATGTCCAGTTTCTTGATCCAAATATATAACAAAAGAAGCAATAAAAGACATTTTGAAAAACAAGTGGGAAAGTGAGTGTGAATTGTACATTAAATTAAATTACTTAATTAGTATTAATTTCCTAATATGATAATAGTATAGAGAATATACTTATTGTTAGGGAATACACACTTCTAAAAATAAGTACAATCTATAATACTAAGGACATTTTTAGGGGTGCTATGTCATGATTTTTGCAAGTTACTAATAAATCATCCAGGAAAAAAAAAATGTGTGTGTGTGAAAGTGGTTGGGAAGAAAAAAATAAAGCCTCTGTGGCAAATGCTAAAAAAAAGTGGATCTACATTAAGAGGAAAAAGAGAAACTCTAAAATCAAATGCTACAGTTACCTCCTTCATAATCTGAAATCTTGTAAGAACTTCTTCTTCCACACCTTTGATTTTGCTCAAGGCAGTTTCATGTCTGAACAGCAGTTCTTCTCTTTCAACTAAAAAATGTTCTCGCTTCTGAAGTTCTTCAGCAAATTCCTGTTGTGCTGCAGTTTCACACTGAATCAAAACGTAAGATTTAAAAATGTGTTTTAAAAAGTACATTGACAAATTCTATAAATTATATTTACAAAAATTACAGAATAATCAAATGGTACCAAGCAAAATCTGGATTATGGTAATAATTAGACTAGTACAGCAGCAAGTAAACTTGCACAGAAATTTTAATTTTCTATAAAATGACATGATACTATAGTGAGATACTCCTATGGTAACTCAAAAGAATTTGGGGTAGGAAACCAACATGGCGGCATAGGTAAACACCAGAAATTGCTGCCTCGCACAACCACTTCAAAAATACAACTAAAAGACAAAATAGACATCATCCAGAACCACAGGAAGGCTGGCTGAGTGGAAATTCTACAACTAGAAGGAAAGAGAAAAGCACTGAGACTCAGAGGAGGTGCGGAAGTAAAGTGCAGAGGTACGGAGGCGCACGCCGAAAGGGCTGGCGGCTGAGGACTCGCCACACGTGGAAAGAGCTTGTGGCTGAGGACGCGGCGCACGTGGAGAGGGCTGGCAGCTGAGGACTTGGTTGTCTTTTTCAATCAGGAGGGAGTCTCAAGCTCCTGACTGCTCTGAACTCCACTTCCAGGTGAGTCTCTGTGGACCCAGATTCATACGGGGAGAAACTGGACTGTCTGGCATTAGGCAGAACTTGAGGGCAGCTTGCTCTCAAAGGTGCTTGCAGTGATTACCGGGAAACTGAGACGCGGGGCCTCTTAGGGTAGGACTGGGGAGCAGCCATAGCTGCTTGCTCTGCCCTGTTGATCTGCTGAGACCCCGCCCCACCCAAGCTGTGCTCAGAGGCTATTGTATATGCATGGCATGGCCCTTTGCAATCTAAAATTACCTAACAAACTGCAGCTGGGTCAGAGAGACCCAGAACATCCAAAAGAAGGCCCAAGGACCCACAGCAGCTTGCATTGCTTCACAGCTGGACCTCATCTGGGCACCTCCAAACCTCAAGCCGGAAGAAGAATCTGCAGATCTCTCCGTAGCTCCTGCTGGGTAGCCTCAGGCACAGGCTAAATTAGCACCTCCTTAGAGATCCAGGAGCCAGTGTACCCAGTGGTCAGAGTGGGACCATCCAGATGACAACTCCTCAGATCCATAAGGGACACACTCAGGGGGCAGACTCAGTGAGCACCAAAGCCCCACTGAAGCAAGTCTTGCCCCAGAAGAGTGACCCCAGCTCAGAAGTACTCCCACTGCAGACACAGGTGATTCTATAGCCAATTGCCCTGGAGGTCAATTCCTCCCAGTGCTGCCTACAACAATCAAGGCTTAACTACTACAAGAAAGTGCACAAAGCCCACAAAGGGGTCCACCAAGAGTGTCTACCTCAGGTAATTTGGGGGGTGGGGGCCACTGGGCCCTATAGGACACCTAGCATACAAAGCCACTCTGCCAACACAGGGAAGCATAAAAAATGCGGAGACAAAGGAACAAGTCACAAATGACAGAAATGGAGGAAAGCAAACTACTGGATATAGAGTGCAAAACCACACTTTTAAGGTTTTTCAAGAATTTTCTAGAAACTGCCAAATAAACTTAATGAGATCTATAAGAAATCTAATGAGCCCCTCGAA